TGCCTCTTGGAGGGGGTCACCCCACTGGACCCGACTTCCTCATGACCACAGATGAGTCACTTTCTCTGGGTCCATGAAACGGGGGCCTAAGGGGGAGCCCGACCCACAGGGTGGGCAGATTAGGGGGTGCATGGCTGGGTTGGGGCGGGCGAGGGGCAACGTGGCCCAGGCGGTGGAACGAGCCCCTCGAAGCCAGGGTCCCTGCGTGGGAGGGGGTGTGGGGACAGGCACCCCCCCCAGGGCCGGCCGGAGCAGAGCTCAGACTCTGGCTTCTGTGCTCCCAGCCTTCAGCTGCGCGTCTGCCACGGAGCAGCCACAAAGGCGGCTCTGCCCCTTCCCCGCATGGCCCACCAGGTGGGGGACGCAGCCAAGCCCCCTCTGGATCCATCTTCCAAAGAGACAATTTCCCCAAAGCAGCACCTTGGGGGGGCAAGGCTGGCCGAGTGCCAGGTCCTGAGGAGGAAGAAAGGGGAAGGAGGGGTGTCCCGGAGGAAAGCTGCTGCGAGGCGGGACCCCCCAGCAGGCCCAGCTCGGGAGCTGCAGAACCAGCCGTCGGCCCTGCAAGAAGCCTGTCTTCCAGAGCCCCGTTCACGCACCTGCCGTCCTGAGGAAAACCACCTTTGAACCCATGACCTCGAGGGACCCGTGAACCTCCCGGGACGTCTGCTGGGGGGTCCCGAGGTCAGAGACGGCCGCCCCTTCCCCGGCCCAGCTCCCAGGCAGGCTGGAGGGCCCCCCCGCACCGCCCTGCGTCCTGAGCTGGTCCCCAGCCTCGGGTCCTTCCTCTGCAAACTGAGCAGCCTGGGGAGGGGAGAGGCCCACTGCAGGGAGGGACCAGGGCTGGGGACAGGGAGCCTGTGGACCCCAGCTTCAGCGCCCAGGCCCCCCACAGGGTGGGGGCATCTCAGAACCAACCCCCAGCCCCGCATTGTGGTTCCCCCCCTAACGTCGCGACTGCTGCAGATGTGAGGGCCTGGTCCCCGAGGCTCCCCCATTTGCCCACAGGGGCTGCGTCGGTTTCCTCTCCCCCTCGGGGGCCTCTGATTCCCTGGGGTCACGCCCATGCCTCGCCCGTCCACACCGCGCCCTGCTGCCATCCGCAGGGCTGCCATCCACAACCCACCGGCCCACTTCCTGGAGGAGGCGCGGGGGCTCCGAGCAGCCAAGCTGCCCACCCGAGGGCACAGCCGGGCTTCCCGGATCCCCGAGTCCAAGCCCCGGCCCCCCACGGCCCCCCAGACCCATGGATTCTCACTCTCCAAGCCACCCCCCACCCTACCCCGCAAGCCGGCTGGTCGAGCCTCTTCCAAAGGAAACAAAAAAGCCTCATGCGGCAAAATATGGCATCGCCCCCTTCAAAGCCGGTTCCCCGGAGTCCTGGGCGAGGCTGGCAAGGACAGGGTGCCTGACATTCCCCGCCATGGGGAAGATGCTGCCCCAGTCGCCATCTTCCCACCCGGTCGCTTGAGAGGGGAACGTGGCTGCTGTCCACACCCGAGGGCAATCAGAGCCTCCACCCGGGTCCGCACCACTGGGTCCACCCAGGCTACAGGCCCCCAACCAGGTGGGGGCCCCGGGGACGGCAGGTGTCCTGCCGGTGCCAGCTCTGAACCTCGATGGCCCCTCTGCACCGAGGACGGCACGGTGCCCATGGGACCTGGCCGCGTCCCCCCAGCAGGAACCCACCGGGCTGGAGGAGGGGGCGGAGGAGGAGTTGCCGGGTGGGCAGGGAGGGCAAGCTGTGCCCCCACTGGTGTGGAGTGTCTGCCCCCTCACCGGAGCCCCCGGGACAGCCAGAGCCGGGCCGCACACGCAGACACTCTAAAGACATGCGTGCATCCCACATACAGATGCACCTGCTCCCCAGATGCCAATCTGCACACACAGATATACACACGCACCTCAGACACCACGTACATTCCACACCCAGACACACTGCTGCAAACATGCATGCACCCCGCACACGTGTGTACTCCAGGCACACTCACGTGGGCGCGTGCAAACGTCCAGGGCCAGGGTCGCTGTGCACACGTAGGCACACGAGCGTCTGTGTGGCAGGGTGACGCATGTGCTCCACACACACAGTTCTGCACCTCCCAGGGCCCCAGGACCCCTGAAAATCATGGGCAAGAACACGCAGCTACACGCAGTGACACATGCAGACACACCCTGCAGCCCAAAGAGACTCCTGGGTGCCCCCGGGTCCCCCACGTACACAGATGCACCCGCAGCCCCACGCTCGGCCCGTGAGCAGCCAGCCAGGACCCTTGGCCCAGTCCCACCCGGGCCGCAGACAGGTCCAGAGACACCCGGCAGCCAGCCCGGGAGTGTCCGGCCCAGGCAGGGGCCGGCCGGAGAAACGGCTGGACAGCCGGCTGGTCGGGGTGCCGGGGCCAGGTGGCTGGACTGCGCTCCGCCCTTTGGCTGCGGCGGAGGTGGGTGCAGGGCTCCCTGGCAACGTCCGCCAGCCTCACGTGTGCAGGAAATACACGGCACAGCAGGAGAACGCAACTGGGGAGACATAGCCACATACACATTACCTCGGCGCGGGTACCAGGCCCGGCCGGGCGAGGGTGGCCGGCCTCACTGCGGCGCCACCTGGGCCTGGCGGTCCCCCACCTGAGCGCACTCATCCCCTCCCACCCCTGCTCCTCTGCTGGCTGCCTGATCGCCCACCACCCGAGCCCGCCCAGCCCTGGCTCCATCCCCGTCCCCACGGTGCCTTTTGTGTGCACCCCTGTCTCCGGCCCGGCCCCGTCCCTGCGTTCCCCGTCACCTCCGCCTGCCGCCACCACCAGTCTCTCTGTTTCGACCCTATCCTTGTCTCTCCCCGCACAGGCCCGTCTCTGCCCGCGGGACTGCCTCCTGCGTGGGGCCCGCTCAGTGACTCCACACCTCTCCCCGCACCCCCCGACCCTGGCAGCTGCCCCTGGGACTGGGCGCCCTCAGGAAATCTCCATTCCGGGTGCCCTCGGACCCCAAGGCCGGACAGCACCCCTCCTCCTGTGACTGACACATACCCTGTCACTGAACGCAGATTCCAGTCCAGACACCCCTGGACATGAAACCTCCTGAGGGGCCCCCGGGCCTCCAAGGCCCCCTTTGGAAGAGCCCCTGAACCTCAGCGATGGATGGAGCCCCAATTCTGGACCCAACCGGGCTTCTTGGGCAAGTGGCTCCCCAGGGCCCCAGACCCCATCGCAAGAGGTCGGGGAGGTCATCTCCCACCAAGGATGCCCCAGGCAGAGAAGGGGGAGGAGAGGTAGGAGAGGAAGGCCCTGACAGCCAGGGTCTGCTCTGGACAGCAAGGCCGTCCCCTCGGACGGCTGGTCGGAGCGGGGCTATCAGGTCAGCAACAGGAGGCGGCCGAGTGGCCGGCCGGAGCCCAGCCCCAGGGGCTACCTCCTTCCCGGCCGAGATCCTGCCTGCGGCCCAGTGGCAGGTGGGGCAGCAGGCGGCCCCAACGACCCCTTTCTGTCCCCGTTCGAGGCTCCTCGCGTGTCTGGCGTTTGCTAGAACAAAGGACAGGCCATGCCGGGACGGAGATTCCGGAGCTGAAACCAAAAACTTGGGCCGGGGAAGTGCTGCCCGCTGGGCTCCCTGCTCGGCCGGCCGCAAGGAAGAGCCTTAATCAAACCCACATGTGACCAGCGGGGCGGGCCGCATGGGGGACCAGCTCCATGATGGCCCGGCCAACCCTCCTAGGCCCGGGGTCTCTGCCCTCGGCCCCGGGGCCCAACCCCACAGCCAGGCAACGGACGGGGGTGTCTGGGCGTGCTCCCTGCCCCCACCCAGGACGCTGACTGCCCTGGTCCCAGGCCTGCCTCAAATATGGCCCTTTATGCAACTTTCCAGCGGAGGATGGAGAACGGTGGGGGACAGTGAGGGGACGGCGGGCTGTGGAAGGCGGTGCGGCTGGCGCTTGAAAACCAAGAGAAGGTGACTGGTAGCAGAGGGTCATGGGGCGGGGAGGCCAGCGGCTCTGCCCCCACGTGCAGCCCGGCTGGCCTTGATGCGACCGTGACCCTGACCGTGGGGCTGACCGGGAGCAGCAGGACCCCGAAGCCCCATCTCCCACGGATCCCCGGCCCGCTCCAGCCTCCCAGACCCTGGGTGGCCCGAGGCATCTGCAGCTGTCCAGGATGTGGTCAGCCACCAGCAAACTTTTCTCACTCGACAAATAAGGGCTTCTGCTGCCCCCCAGATGGCACTCAGTGCCTGACACCGAGGAGGACTGCAGGCAGGCGGGCGTGGCAGGCTGGGCACAAGGCCACCTGGGTCCCTGCCCCAGCTCTGCTCCCCTGGCCGTGACCTTGAGCCAGCCGCTCGGCCCCTCTGTGCCTCAGTTTCCCCACCAGCGCCAGGACAGGAGAGGACGCCACCTGGTCAGGACTCCCGGGACAGACCCCCAGCCCCCTTGGTGCCTCAGTCTCTCTATCCCTGCAAAGCAGGAACCAGGGACCCCCTGCAGCGAATGTGGACGCCGGGCCGTAGGGAGGGACATTCTAACTTCCCCAAGTTCATCTGGGGACCCGCCGGCAGAACGCACTCCTGGACCCCTCCCCCGAGGGGCCACGGTCCCCCACCTCCGGGCGCGGCTCAGTGACAAGGTTCCCGGGAATCCCCACCAACTCTAAAGCCAGCGGGGGTCCCTGGAGAGGCCAGAAGATGCTGTGCCCCAAGTCCGGGGAGGGAACTCAGGGCCGCACTGCATCTGAGGGTGCCAGAGGGGATCCCCAAACTCCAGGGCCGGCGGCGCGCCGGGGCATGCAGGGCGCCCAAATCTGCAGGCGGCGGGGCGCCCTGGGGGTAGATGCACACGGAGCGCGAGTCCCCCAAACTCTGGGGGCCGGAACTCCCTGGGGGCGCCCGTGGGAAGCGGGCGCCCCCACTCCGGGGGCAGCGCGCAGGGTCGCCCCGAGCCCGGGGCGGGAGACCAGGCTGGGATGGGGTCGTCCGGAGTCTCCCGGCGCCCGGTCCCCGCCCGCGGCCACGCTCACCTGGGGTTGCTGCGGTTCCAGTAGACGGCGTAGCGGTCCGAGTTGGCGCGGGCGGCGTCCTCGGCGCGCGCGAAGGGCGGCGGCGGCGGCAGCGGCAGCAGCAGCAGCAGCAGCGGCAGCAGCGGGCGCTGCGCGGGCGCCATGGCCCCGGTCCGGCCGCCGCGCTCGCCTGGCCGCCGCCTGCCAGCCGTCTCCGCCTCCTCCGCCGCCGCCGAGCGGGCGGGCGCGGGGCGGGCGGGAGGAGGGAGCGCCGGCGCTTGGAGATCCCCAGCCGCCCCCGCCTGAGCGCGCGCGACCTCGGGCGCCGGAGAAGTCAGGCGGCGGCGGGCGGGGCGCCGGGGTCGCCCCGGGCGCCAGCCCGGCCGCTCGGACTCTGAGAGCGCGGGCCGTCGCCGCCGCACCGCCGGGGAGGGGCCGGGACTCCGGCCTTTGTCCCGCCCGAGCGCCGGGAGGGCCGCGGGCGCCCCCTCCTGCCGTGCCCCAGCCGCGCGGGGGCTGGGAGGGGGGCTCCAGCCCCCGCCGCGCCCCTACCTCTCCACCCCCCGCCCCGCCCCGACTTTCCGGGACGCGTCCCCGCGTCGGGCTGCCTGCACTCCCGGGGTCCTGCCCCCCCAAGCCCCCCGGCCACCCCAACTCTGCGGGGCCCTGCATCTGCCCCTGTCATCACGAGACCAGGCCGGGGTCGCTGAGTTACTCTCAACCACCTCCATTCAAGCCACCAAGCGGGTCTCCAGAGCCTGGCCTGGCGCCAGAAGCAGAAGACACAGAGATTGCTCACCCCCATCTCCCCTCCCTCATTCAAACCCAGACCCCAAAATCCTAAACCAGGCCCAGCCAATGCCGTACCACCCCGCCCAGCCTGGTGAAGAGTTTTACTGTCAGGCTGACCAAAGTCCAAAGCCAGTGTCCACTGCTGCCACCCAGGGGGACCGCAGGGCAGTCACTTCTCTCTGAGTCTCTGTTTGTTCATCTAGGAAACAAAATAGGAATCCTGACCTCAGCCCCTAAGGGTGCCAGGCATAGTAGGTGCCCAATACTCCCAGCAGCCCAGAGTTGGGTCCAGGCCAACAGCAGGTGGGAGCACCGGTGTCTGACCGGGGTGGAAGATAGGAGAGGCGTCAGGCGGAGGGTGCAGCTTCAGCAAAGGGCTAGCTAGAGTGCCTGATGGGTTCGGGGCACTCAGTGACCACTCCCGGAGGAAGGGGGCAAATTGCTGACTGTGGAACTGGGAGACTGTCCTTCAATTCTGTGCTCATTCATGCCATAGTCTCCCTCACCAGACTCTGAGTCTGTGGAGGTACGCTGTCACCAAGTGCTGGCAGGAAAGTGCCAGAGGTGCCCAGCCAGATTCCACTTCTCTGGCTTTGTTTCACTCTCCCAGGCCTGGCGCAGGGTCTGGGAGCCAAGAGCTGGAAGGTCCCCATGTGAGGGATTATCCAAACTCCTCGCAAGAACCTTGAGAGGCCAGAGACCGGCAAACTAAGTTTTGCCCCAGCCAGGCGGGGATGGTAAATGCACCCGCCCCAGCTACACATTTCCGATATGCTGTGGCCATGTTCCACACGTGCCCTGAGCTTCCTGCTCTCCTACCGGCACTCACCCCTCTTTGCTTGGGCTGCACCGTGCCTGGGAGGCCTTCCCCGCTCTTCCTGTAAAATTCTGGTTCCTCCTTCAAGGCCCGTCGTCCTCCCTGTACTTCAGTCACCCCCCAATCTCCGCCCACAAGGTTCTCTGTTCTCTGCCCTCCAGGGAGCTCTGCCCATCTGTTTGGGGTGTTCTGGCTTCTGGGTCTTGTCCATTGACTGCAGGTGCCCAAGTTTGAAGTCCCAGGGCTGGCTGAGGTGGCTCCACAGAGGAGGGTGGGAACCTGCCCCCAGGTGGTGGGTGGGGCCGGCCCGGGAGGCCGAGGGAGGACCAGAACTGGCCCAGGGTCACGTGGCAAGGCCCCAAACAGACCATCTGGACACCGCTGGAGTGAGGGCCTGGGGCTCCAGCCACACAGGCCAGGCTCGGCCCGGGATGGCTGGTCTGGCTCTTTGGGAAGTGATGGGGCCACCACTCTGGAAGGCGTGGGGCCTGAGCCCAGGAAGAGGGGCTGCGAGCCCAGGGGTGCCAGGCCTGGCCGGCAAAGGGGTCCACCCAGAAGCTCTCTCTGCCCTGGGACGAGAGCACCCTCCATGGCATGGGACCTCATGGATGGGTGAGGGTCTCTTCTGTCACACCCAGCAGGACTTGGACCCGCAGGGTTGCAGGGGTGTGGGAGACAGAAGGGCACAGCAGGTGAGGGGACATCCGGCAAAGGCCCGGATGGGTCGGCTCATTTGCATGCAGGGGCCACCGAGGCGAGAGCCGCCGCCGCCGCCGAGCGGATTTGAGCAGAAGCTCCGTTTTCCTTCTGTTCTTGTCTCTCTCTCAAGGTCAGAGCCCGAGCAGGGACAGGAACAAAGGCGCACGTCCCCCATTCAACCTCCCTGCGCCCGCCGTGCTCCCGGAGGAGGGGCCCCCGGGGAGGGGAGGGGAGGGCAGAGCAGAGCTGCTCCACGGTCCGGCCCCGGGCAAGGCGGGGACGGGGCCGTGGGAACAGCTGCCCAGCTGCCCTCGCGGACCCCTGCCCGATGGGTCCCGCTGTGGGCCCCCAAGAGGCTCTGTCGCCTCCCAGAGTGGGTGGCCATCCCAGCCTCCAGGCTCTGCCAGCAGGGGGGGTCAGCTAAGGTCAGGGGTCGTTCTGGAGTAAGCTTCTGCTGGAATCAAGGGTCAGTGGTCAGGCTCACTTTGGGGACCGGGGTCAGTCTTAGGTTCAAGGTTCAATCAGGGTCAGGGGTCACTCAGAGTCGACTGTCAGCCCCAGGCCCAGACCCAGGGCAGGGTTTTTGATGGGGTCTGTCCCCGTCCACTGCAGTCTGCACTCCTGGGCTCAAAGGTCCACCTCAGACTCAGGGAGGGTTTTGTCCGAGCCAGGCCCAGACCTGCCCCTAGTCTGTGCCCAGCACCTCTGCTCCAGCACCCACTGCCCACCGCCCACCAACCCTGACCGATCACCCCTACCCACTGTCCCCTGCCCACCCCCACTGGCTCCTGACCCACCACTGGTCACCCACCGCCCACGAGCTCCAACACATCACACAATACCCATCACCCTCTGCCCACTGACCCCCGGCCCAGTGCCCACCACCCATTACCTGTCGTCCCAGCCCACAGGGTGAATTCCCAGGGCTTGGCATCAGCGACCAGTGCCGCCTCAACCTTCAAAGGCCACAGCGCTTTGGAGAAAGCTAAAAATATGCAGGCAAAAATTTCTCATTACAGAAAATATTGGACCCAGTCCACCGCCCACTCCGGCTCGAGTGCTTTTCAAGAGGCGGGATGGGGTCGCCGGGGAGGGCGGAGGGCCTTGGCGGGTCTGGGGCTTCACTGAACCAGTTCAGAGCGGGTCTCAAGGAGAGTTCTCCAGGCTGTGACTGAGCATAAACAAACTAACCTGTCCCTTTCTCTTGCTGGTAAATTAAAATTCCCACCCTCATGTCCAGTGTCCAGTCAGGCCCTTGAAACCTCAGCCCGGACCTCAGATTCCTGCAAGCTCCACAGCCAGGGCAGCGCCGGACCAAGCAGGCGTCATCCCAGCTATTCCCCCCCCTCCCCCCTCCCCTCCCTCCTCTCCACCCTCCTCCCCCTCCCAGCCCCAGGGCCCTGGACACAGACCCCCTCCTCCCAGTGGTCACCTGGCAGTCTGGGGGCTAGACCACTGCTGTCCAAAAGAACTTCCCACAAGGATGGACAAGTCCAACACAGGCACCACCAGCAGCTCCACATGGCTACTGGGCACATGAAATGTGGTCAGTGCGATTGAGGAACAGGACTTCAGACTTCACCTACGTTTAATTAATGTGGATATAAATAGTTAGTCATGGTCACCATACTTGTGGCACAGCTCTGGGTGGAGTCGTGCCCGAGTGGGCACCTGGACCGCCACTCTTGTCCGGGACCAGGACATCAAGGCCTGTGTGGAGAAGGGAGGTGGCGGCTCAGACAGCGCAGAGAGGAGACGTGGGTGGGGCTGAGCCCCCGGGTAGGATGGGGGATCAGGGGAGGGGTCCTGGGAACCCCAGGGAGGGCACAACTCCCTCGCCTGCTGACCCCAGGGGAGCGGGGGCCACGTCCGAGGGAGAGCACGTCAGAACCAGCAGAGGGGCTCCCACCTACAGGGAAGACGCCTGGCCTTGACCAGCTTCCCCGCCCCCTCCCGGCCCCAGTCCCCAGATGGAGAACCGAGGTTGGGGGCGAGGCCGTCTAGCTGCACAGCGACGCTCCCGGGAACCAGAGACCCCCAACGTGGCCCCCGGGCCGAAGGGGCTGCTTTGCTGCGCGTCAGTGGGCACTCCTAGGGTGGGGGCTGGGGGACGGAGGTGGTGGGAGGGGCCTCGAGGGCGCCGGGCTGTTGGTCCGCGCACCCTCACCCGGCGCGGGCTTGGGACCCGCTGCGGGCGACACCCGTGTATGCGCGCGTGTGGGCTTGTGCCCTGTGTCCGTCCCGCACGCCTGGCGGCCGTGTCGCCTTTCCTCGCAGCCGTGTCATGCCTGTGCCCGTGTGTGAGTGCGGAGAAGGTGCTGGAAGGCCTCCCGAGCCGGCATGCACACGCACACGCGGCCCTCCAGCCATCCGGGCCCGGGGGCCTTTCATCTCGCGCTGACAGGCCCCTCTCCCGTCTCTTAGCCACCGAGAACTTCCCGCTAATAGTGCATTAACCTTGGCGGGGGCTGCCAATTACTCGGCACTAACGCCGGGGGCGCGGTGCGCGCGCGGACGGCGCTGACAGGCGCAGGGGCCGGGAAGCGGGCGGGGCTCCCCCCCACCCGAGGGGGGCGGGCAGGAGGCGCGGGGCTGCGGGGGCACGCGGTGTGTTCCCGCCTCCGGATGGCAGAGCGCCGGGTCTCTCCTGACCTCATTATAGTAATTAATGTGCCTTTTGAAGCTCGAGAAATCGCTCAGAGCTGTGGGAAAGGGGCGCAGATCACGGGGTGGGGGCTGGGGGCGGGCCGTGGACGGTGTCTGAGCGCCTGTTAAAAGCGTGTCCCCCCCCCAAAAAAAAGCGTGTCCCAGCGGGTCAGACACGGAGAGAGACAGAGTGACAGAGAGGGACAGACGGAAACCCAGGGAGGCTGAGTGAGAGGCGGTGCAGATGGAGAGAGACACCAACAGGGAGATGAGCAGAGGTTCAAAGACAGAGACGCAGAGACAAAAAGACAGAGATGCATGGAGAGAGACCCACAGAGTGAACAGACGGGGAGAAAGGGCGGCCAGAGCCCGGGGGTCAGGGGGCCTGACATCTCAGGGCCTCCCAGGGACTATGGCCTCACTTTCTCAACCCTCCCTGGCTTCTGGGGACCGGCTCGCCACTCCGTACAGGACCCTCCCAAAGAATGGGGGTGGCAGGGGCAGTGAGGACTTCCTGGAGGCGGCAGCTGGGCACCAGAGCGGGGAGAGGAAGTGTGAGCAGACTTGGAGCAGGGTCGGGGGCTGCCAACAGAGATGCCCAAGGAAGCCAACTGGGGGCCAAGGCAGAGGACCCTGGCTGGAGAGAGGGGTGGCCAGCTGACCATGACAGCTCTTCCGCAGGAACCCGGGCTCAGGCCGGGCCAGGAAGACCAGCAGGACTGCAAGGTAGACGGGCCACAGGGGCTGATGGGTCTTGAGTGGGCAGCAGGCTGGGGCCATCCCATGGTGGCCATGGCAACAAGGTGGGGTCGAAAAGTCGTGCGAAACAGGGCCCCCGACTTCGAAGTACTTCCCCACCTGTACAACGATTTGCCTCAGGCCACCCCGAGACCACAGGCCAGCATGGTAGAGGCCGGGCAGCACAAGGCTGCCACCTGGTGGCAGCTCCTCCTAATGACAGCTCCGGCTAACGACACGGCCTCGGTGCCTCCGGCCAGCGGCCCGGGGAGACCTCAGGCTGTGGGCAGCCACAGGCCAGCCCCACCTCTCCCACTCTCCAGGACCACAATGACAGGGTGCGGGCGGGGAACAGGCCACAGCTGGACTCCGCCTAGAAGCAAGGCCCACAGAGGAACTCATCAAGCCCCTCACCAGGGTTGGGGACTGAGGTACCCCGATGGGACTCAGGTGCCCAGTATGGATCTCAGGTGGCCAGGATGGGGATTGAGGCACACCAATGGGGTGCAGGTGCCCAGGATGGGGCTCAGGTGGGAAAGGAGGTCAGGTGCCCAGGATGGGGGTCAGTTGCCCCAGTGGGATTCAGGTACACAGGATGGATCGCAGGTGGCCAGGATGGGCAGTCAGGTACCCCAGGGGGGGTCAGGTGCCCAGAATGGGGCTCAGGTGGGAAAAGGGTTAGGTGCCCAGGGTGGGGGTCGATTGCCCCAAGGGGATTATGGTGCCTGAAAGGGGTTCAAGTTCCAGGGATGGGGCTGAGGTGATCAGGATGGAGGCTGAGGTACCCCCCATGGGACTGGGGCGCCTAGGATGAGGGTCAGGTGCCCCAGTGGGACTCAGGCACCCACGATGGATCTCAGATGGCCGGAACGGAGGCCTGAGTGCCAGAATAGGCTTCCCGGGATGGGGGACCAGGTTCATCAGTGATTCCACAAGAGGCTGATGGGGGAGAGGCAGGGTGGGCACAGGGAGCCTCAGGCTGCAGAAAGCTCCAGACCCGTACACTACAGCCTGGGGTTCCTCAGGAAACACCCCCAAAATAGTGGTGTGAGTGTGGTGAGGCAGAGAGCATGGCCCTTAGGGGCCCCAGGCTGAAGGCATTATGGACAGGGGAACCCTGAGCAGGAGCTTTGCTGGATGAATAGGAGTTCTCCCTAGGCTCAAAAACAATGACTGGCAGGGTCTTTTTCCAGGCAGGTGGGAGTAGTTCTCCCCCATCTCTTTGTCTCCTTTGTGGGATTCCTCACGGGACCCTCTGGACACCTGAGGATGGGACCAAATGGTCACAGGTGGGAGAACTAAGGCCCACATGGAGCCCAGGTCTGCTGCCCACCCCCCACCTATGAGCCAGAGCGCTGGGTCTGGCCCACTGTGGAGCTGGGTACCAGCTACAGAACCACTGGCTGCCTTTATTGTCCTCAGCCCAGGGATATGGTGCTCCCAGACAGGCCCCCCAGCCCACCCGCCTACCAGGCCTCAGCTTGGGGCTGCCGCATCCCCACCAGGAAGGGTGATCGGCACAAGTCACAACGTGGCCAGGGGACCTCAGAGTTCTGCGTGCTGCTGCCGGGGACCCTCTGGCTTCCAGCCGGTATCCTGGGCGGTCTTGTCCGGGGGCAGGGCTGGGGCGGCTTCTGGCAGGCCGGGCAGGCCCCACACAAGCTCTTTGGCGGCAGGAGAATCAGCAGGGCATTCCAAGCCCTGGGAGGGGCCCTGTCTCTCGTCCTTCCCACAAGGCCGCTGGAAATGCTGCCTTCCCGACCTGTACATCTGGAAACGAGAGGTAGGAGGTGAGAAGTGTTGGGTGGGGAGCCCGCCCCGTCCCTGCCCCGCCCCCGCCCCACTGTGCCTGTGCCTCTAACATGCCCAGCCCCCACCCCCAGCCTGCAGACCCTGCCAACTCCCTACCCGGGGGAAAGGGGTGCCCCAACCAGGAGATGCCGGGACCAGAGGGATTCCCAGGCCATACCCGCACCTCCCTCGGGGGGCTTGGAAAGTCAGAATCGTCCTGTGGTCTCTCAGCTTCTGTGCCTGAGCCCCCGATAAGCTGGGGTTAAACAGGCCATCCCTCCCCGCTCAGGCCCTGTCAGTGGCCCTGAGCCCAGTGGCCACTGGGTCACCTCCGTTGTCAGCCCTCTTTCTTTGTCTCTGCCACTGCCTCTGCCTGGGATGCTCTACCCCTGGCTGGGGCCGTGGAGAGGCCGTCTCTGACCCACCCCCCAGCTTTGGTAGCACCTCGCAGTTCATTCTCCACCTCTGACACTGATCTTGGCCTTCGGGGTCAGGCCCAGAGCAAGTGCCCACTGACTCAAGCACTGCAGCCCATTCCCATCTTAAAGAAATGGGAAACTGAGGCTGGGAGATGGACGTCCCTGGGACAAGGCCACACAGCCTGCGACGGCAAAGCCAGGCCCGGCCACTGTTGTGTGCTGACCGCACCGAGGACCTCACCGGCCGACAGTCTTCCTAACTCTCTGGCCTGCTGACCCCACCCCCCCCAACCCAAGGAGCCCCTGAAGGTGTGTGGAGGGCTGCCTTACCATCTCAGGTTCCTTGTTTCAAAGACCGTCTCCTCGTCGCTGTCCAGCGATGCCATCTCGGTGGGGTCCTCGGTGTTGGCCAGGAGCCCGTACCTCCTCTGCTGCGGCTTTTTCAATCTGGAAGCAGACCCAGGCTCGCTCAGCGGCCCTCTCATGGCCCTTCGCTGGAGCTGCTGACACCCTGCCCTGCTTCCCACCTTCTCTGATAATGCTCGTCTGCTCGACTCCCAGAGTCTTGCTGTGAACTTTCCGGTTCCAACTGCGTTTCTTCTCATAATGGTCACAATCGTTATGAGTTGCTGTGCACATCTCCCTTGGCAGGCCCCCAGGGCGTAGGCCCTTGGGCGAGGACCCCTGGGAGGGGGGCGCTGTAATTCCATTTTACTAATGAGACGACTGAGCCTTAGAGAGAGTTTGCCAAAGATATCAAGTAGAAGGCTGTCACGGGCAGAAGCCCCGGCTCCTGACCACCACCAGGGAAAGCACGGGACCCTCTGTGGTGGATGTGGCACGTATTCAGATGGGAGACGAACATTGTGTACCCACAGCAGTGTCAATGCAAGACAGAAAAGGCCCCTTCAGAGCATCTGGATATGATCAGCTCTGCGTGACAAAGGCCCTCTGGAGATCAGCCCCAGAGAGGAAGCCAAACGGGGAGGACGGGCCTGAGGAGGGGGTCGGGGTCACGGGCCTGCAGGGGGCAGGGCGTATGCCGCGGGGAAGGCAAGGGGGTCCTCAACTCTTGGGGAGAGCGTGGGCAGAACCTAAACACTGACGATCACGGCCAGCTCTGGGCTGAAGAAACAGGAGGAGCAAGGTGCGGGGGCAGGCTCCCGCCGGGCCCTGGTCAGGCTGTGGGCGTTAACTACAGGAAAGGATGCGGCCAGGCCCGCGTGGCAGATGCAAGTTGGGTTAGTGGGCGCTGCGCTCGTCGTCACCGGGCTGGGGGAGCCGCAGAGGGTCCCGGGAATTCCCGGTGCCCTCATCATCCCGCAACCTCTAGTCTCGGTGGCTGCGTCTCGAAAACCAACCCCAACATCCCGAAGAAGCGGCTCGTCACGTGATTGCATGACCCCACCCACTCACCACCCACGTCCCCACCCACTCACCACCCACGTCCCCACCCACGTGACGATGGCGAACCGCGCCGGAGAGGCGGGGATTTCGCGCCGCAGCACTTGGGGCGCGAGGCGCGCGCCCATTGGCCGCGCCAGGGCAGCGGCGGCGGCGTGCGCCTGACGCACCTGAATGCCCGGATGAGGAAGTAGAGCACGGCTAGGACGATGAGGCCCGTAACCACGTAGAGGGAACGCAGAAGCGGCGAGTCCGGCGAGCCCAGCGGCCAAGGGTGTGTGGTGTTGTGCGGCGCGCCCGGCTGGGTCCCGTTCTTCACGACGGGATGCGGCAAGAGCGTGGCCTGCGTGCGGCGCAGTGACGGGGGCGTGGCGTCCGCGGCTCCGAACAGCTGCACCGACAGCAGCAGCGCCGACAGCAGCAGGAGCCGCGGCGGCAGCACACGCAGCCCCATAGCCCGGCGGAAGCGGTAGCCGCGCGCGCCCGCCCCCGCGAGGAGCAGTCACTCACTGGCGCCGGGGCGGGGCCAGCCAATGGCTCGCGGGGGCGGGGCCTGGCTCCCGGAAAGGCCCGGCCCGCCACCGCCCCCGGCCGCTCACCTCGCTTCACCCGAAGCAGGGAGGTACCCCGCGCCCCGCCGGCTCCGCGAGCACCCCGCCCCCGAAGGCTCGGAGCCGCAGTTCTGTGTCCCCGGCCCAGAGCGTGAGCACCGCGGCCGCCCCGCAGGGGGACTACGATGAGGGGACAGGCGCGACCGTGCCCTGCGGGCCTCCCTCCCACTTAGGCCCTGGAACTCTCGCGTCCCCGCCCCCAGTCGCCCTGGGCTTCGGTGACACCAGCACGGTGGCCCGCTGTCCCTGGCCCTCCAGGAGGGGAGACCTGTCCCGGCTGTGAGCCTGGGCATCCCGCCTTTGGCGGGGGCCAGGAGGAACCAGACACACCCCGTGGGAGAAGTGGGGGGGGTACCGGTGACCCGGACCTCACCCTGCTGAGACTTGAGGTAATTCTCCCAGAGCCCAAGGCAGCTAGAACCGGGGCTCAGCCCCAACGTTCTGCACCCCACGACCAGGCCTGGAGGCAAACAGCCTGGGAAGGCAGGCCGGCTCCGGGGGCGGACAAGCTGAAGGTGCCCGGGGTTACTCTGACAAGGCCTCTGCCTGGCTCCGGGGGACGCGCCGCCAAGGGACCACCTCCTCCACGGCTCCCTCTGCCCGAGAGAACTGCCCCGGGGGGGCAATGAACTGCCGCCTGGCCTTCCGGGTCTGGATCCAGCTCGTGGCCAGAACGAAGGCCCCAAGAGGAGGCTATCTCTAGCGAACTCCCCTCCACAGCCCCTCCGGCCAGGCCTCAGGCTGAAGCTCAGCGTCCGCCCTCCACGACGCACCCCACACCAGACTCAGATTTGTAGGTGTACACACCATCCCTTTATTCAAATGCACCTTCCACATTTGTCTTGTCACATCGCGAGTGAGGACTGGCCGCCGTGCCAGCACCACACGCCCATCCTCCTGGAGCACCTTGAAGCCCCGCACCCCAACCTCGCCAGTGAAGCACCTGCTGGAAAGACGGGAGAGGTGAGAGGGGGACACGAGGGCTGCTCCAGCAGGAGATGAAGATGCTGCCCCCGACAGGGGTCACACAGCCAGGACGGGGGAGAACCCACCACAAGGGCGCAGGGCCACAGGGCCACATGTCTCCCCCGCCGAGAAGCACTTACAGGTGACGGGCTGCAAGGGCAGGCAGCTGTGCCGCTGGCTCTTGCTCCCGGGTGAAGTTCCTCCTGGGGCAGTGACCCCAGGTCGTTGTTGCTCTCGGGTCACCCTTCCGGGTCGCACTGGCTTCCATTCAACCTGCCAAAGCAAAGGAGTGTTAATCCTGACACCCTGGCTGAGCTCACAGCCGCCCCTCCCCGACTCCCCCGAAACCATCCACAGCTCCTAGGAGGGTCTCAAGCTAGTCATCGGGGCCAACCCAAGAGGCCCCGCCACGGGCCAACGTGCCCAGGGCGGGCCTGCGCCTTTCAGATGGGCCAGGTCACTTTGTACTCTTAAGCAGAGCCAGCTACCCACTTGGGATGGAGCTGCTTAGAAATCGGCGCGGGCTCTGAGAAAAAACTCATGGCAGCAACAGACATCAGAGAGAGCTAGTTAGGAGTGTGACTCAAAGAGGTCTGGAAAAGACAGTCAATTGATGAACAAAAAATTCCAAAAGGCGGGGCGTTTGGTGGTCTCCAATCCTGCTCAACTGCCCGGGCCGCTCGCCTGGCTGCAGGCGGGGAAGGGCAAACGGCCGGGGTCTGCCTTTAGTTCTAGCTTGATTTTTTTTTTTTTTTTTTTTTTTAAAAAGGAAAAAGAAAAAGCAAAAAAGTCAAAGGAACATTCCCCGGGTACACGACTTTACTTTCAAATGAGCTCTCAACAAGAGGAGGGATGCGGACGAGCAAAAGGAGTTACCTCGAATTACAGGACTATCTCCACATATGAGCTAGCCCAGGGAGCAGCTTGCGTCTCAGAGGTTTCTGTTGGGCGCACAACACTTCTGTCCTCCGAGGGGCTGCAGCTTCCATAGGCTAGCAGAGAACGCTCAGAACTTGTAAAGCAACAGCAGAGCTAGCTAATGAGCCGGTCAGTCTGTGGTCACCCGGGGACCCTGCCTGTGTCTGCTCTCTGGCCTGCTTCTAGACTACGGAGTTCAGGGTCAGCGTCGGGCGCCCCCGTGTCCACCGTCCCTGCTAGGCTGCCCGCCCCATCGAGCCTTCTGGCTGCCACGGCCAGAAGCGCTCCGGGGCTGCCCTGCGGTCCGAGAGCCCGCTCCCATCACCCACCTGCTCGCCTAACTGGGGCCGGTGGTCGTTGGCTGTCACAGGGGCCCAGCCAGCGTCACTGACCCTGCCTTTCTCCTCTAGCTGTGGCAGCCTCGGGCGGGACTGCGGACCTAGTCCTCTAGCTGCCCTCTCCGCTCAGGTCTGCCTGCCTCGAGCCCCTGCAGGGCGCGTGTGGTGCAATCAAAGGGAGATGGTCAGAGCGAGGTTCATTCAGATGGTCTTTTAATCGGCTTCGTGAAGCCAAAGAAAACTGCGTACAAGAATTCCTTCACCACTTCAGATACAACATTGACGGGATATGCGTACGTCTTCCGGCAAAAAAGGACAATATAAATACACATTTTCAAGAACCTCTCGGGGATGTCTGCAAGTCTACTGTGGGTCCCACACGACAGGTGGGCGCCCGGGCCGGGCCAGGGCAGCCCGGGTGCTCTGCTGCCACCCGCACGGTTCTACCACGCTACACTCAGAAACGTGACACCGAGTTGGAAAAAAGCTACAACTTGCTCAGCTTCCGACAAAGAGCAGATTCAGAGTCTGTTCAATCTCAAAGAGAAGTGACTCGGGGCACCCAAATTCATGGGGCCAACCCCACTGAAAAGAAAAAGAAAAAAGCAACACAACCAAAACAAAAAAACAAAACTCTCACAACCCCTGGTGATTTTCTAAAAAAAGAACTCTTGGCTCACGGTAAAAAGGTAAAACTGGAAGTGCTCTTCAAAACGTTTTTAAGACTCTTAAAAACAGACAGCGCTTCCTTAAAAAGCAAAGTGTAGTAACGAGGCCATCTGGGGGCCAGAAGCAGTCAGGCTGTGTTTGACAAGATCAGAACCAATAAGACTACAAAAGTGGGTACAAGGAGGTGTGATCACTACACATTAACGATTCAGCGGAGCTCCCAAAATCTTTAAATATACGGCCATTGGAAGGACGATCTCGAGCAGGAAGGATTTTTACTCGTTGTGTGTAGCTGAGAACAAGAAGCAGGCACAGTGTAAAGGCGCTGAAGCACGCGACGAGAGGCAGCATTCCACTCCCGGCCCAAACCTGGGGGCTCAGCCCTGGGGGCTCGGGAGCGACCAACCCCCCCCATGGCCGAGGGTGGCGGGCACGGCCCACATGCACGGATGCGGCCTGCTCTGCTCGGTGGGCCCTCGCTCTCCCTTTCCTCCTTGGTCAGCCTGGTTTTGCCTTTACGTTCTGTGGCAGAAGTGGCTGCTGGCACCGAGACCCAAGAGGACAGTCTCGTCCCTTACGGGGCAAACATAGTGACCGGGTCTGAGCACTGCCCAGAGGGCACCGAGGCTCACTGAGCTCCCACCACAGGCCCTTGGAGCGCCGCTTACCGTAACTGTCGTAGCTATCTCTGTAGGACCCGCCCGAGCTCCGGTCACCGCAGCTGCCACTCTGACTCCGGCTGCAGGAAGGACACAGGTGAGCGCCGGGGGCCACCTCGGGGGACTCTCACCAGTCCCCGTGCCAGCGTCCCCACAGAGCCTCCCAGGCCCCCCTGCGCAGGACCACCGCCCGTACCTGCTGTAGTAGTCTCTGGAGCCTCCATAGCCCCCACTCCTGGACTCGAACCGGCTCCCCCCGTAGCCGCGGTCCCCTCCTCCTACAGACGGGACGGGAAGGAGAAGTGAGTGTCAGCTTCTGCAGCAGTGCCCCCACCTTGTCCCTGCAAGTGGCACTCACCTCTGGAGAACCCACGGCCCCGACCTCGGCCCCCGCGGAAGAAGCCCCGGCCCCCGACAGAGCCACCTCGGTACCCGCGGGATCGGTTATCAGACGATTTGCCAGCCTGGTCGACCCGGATCTGCCGCCCATCCACAGACTGGAGACCAGAAGTGGACACGGTTAGCCTCTGCACCTCCCGCCCTCGGTCTGCAGCCCAGACCCACTGAACTCCAGAGCAGCCGGCCCTCACCTTCCCGTTCATGGCCATCATGGCGTCCTTGGCATCGTCGATGTTCTCAAAGGTGACAAACCCAAAGCCCCTCGATCGCTGGGTCTCCCTGTCCTTCACGACCACCACTGTGCAGGGGAGAGGTCCGCGGTCAGCACCCAGCCCTCCCCGTGAGCAACCCCACTCAGCCACCAGTCTGGCACCAGCCTCACCTTCTGAGATCTGTCCATATTTTGAGAAGACCTGCTCCAGTGACTGCTCGTTGGTGTCAAAACTCAGCCCTCCGACGAAAAGCTTGCCTTCATCTGATGCCATGGCGGCCTGTGACAAACATCAAAAGCCTCAGAGGTCCTGCAGGGTCTTTGAGACTCAACGTCCCCCACACTTTACTTTATACAAATAACGTATGTTTCGGGGGGAAACGCTGGGAAACTATTTTTCTGCCCTTTAACCATCCCAAGCCCACACCCAGGACTTAATTCAAACAAACCCTTAATTCCTTTATCACTTTGGGTCCCTGGCCGCTTTTCTGTGTTTGGGCCAACTCCGCTCCCCAGACTGGGGGGTCCCTGAAAGCTGGGGCCACACTGCGGTTCTGCAGTACTCAGTGCTGCCTGGCTGTGGAGCCCCAAAACTCCAGGCAGGGGACGCCCTCACGGGACGTTTAGGGCTACACCCTGAAGGCAGGCATCGGCCACCATCGTCACTGGCTGAGTGCACCTTGGTTTCTGCCCGTTGCAAACAGCGAGGGGCTAACTCCTACCCCGACCGTCGCGGGGCGGGCGGAGTGGCAACGTGCTTGGTCCACTGCAGGGCGCTATGCAGGCGGGGCGGGAACTCTGCGCCGGGATATCAAAGCGGGGCGGTGCTTATACCGACCCTTTACAGGCTGGTAGCCTACGCTGAATGGCTCCGAAATACAGGCCAGAAGGCGCCCTGCAGCACGTAACTGGGACCCAAACTTGGGGCGTTGGGGGTGGCACCGGGGTTGTGTCGCCCTCGCACTACTCCAACGGGAAATCGGGGAGGAGCCCCAGCCTGGCCCCACCCACGCGCGCATGCGCCCCACGCCACTCCATCCGGGCACTCGGCGCTCCCGCCATTTCGCAGGGCGCAGCTTCGTGCTCGCGGCCGCCATTTTGCGGCGGTGTCCCGCTCGCGAATACCCTGGCCCACGGGGGATGCCCTCCGACCGCGGTTCGGCCCGGTCTCCGCTGCCCCTCGCCGCCGGCGGGGCGGACTACACCCCGGGCCCGCCCCGGCACCGCCCCCGCCCAGGGGCGTGCCGCCGCCGCCCCGCCTCGTCCGGCCGGCCGCAGGCCGCCCGCCGCCCCGGGCCCGTGGAGCCGGTGCCGCCAGGGCCCTCACCACTGAGTCGGGCAGGTCCCTGACGCAGGCGGGAAGACGGCACAGCACAACGACCCGAGTCTCCTAACGCGCGAAGTGACTGGGGGGGCGCCCTGCGCCCGCCTTATGTACTTCTTCGCTAGGCCCCGCCCCCGAGCCCGCCCCTCCGCCCCTCGCCGGCCAATCCGAAGCCCTGGAGGCCGTGGCTGTGCCTCATATTCATGAGCTGGGGGCCGGGCCTGTACCGGCCGCGCCCCCTCCCGCGAGCGGGCGCGGGGCACAGTGAACGGCGAGGACGCGCATGGTCCGCAGTTCCCCGCCCGCGCGCGGGAGGCGGGGCCAGTGCTCGGCGGGGCGGAGCTGACCCACTTCCGCGCGCCCGCCCCCCCCCCCCCCCCCCCCGGCCTGTGGCGGAGAACAAAGGGGTTCGGGCGGCTTCTGCCAGTGGCCCAAGCCTCCTGGGAACCTTCTGGGAGTCGCTGGAACCCAGACCTTTGCGGTGCTCCCGCAGTCGGCGACTTACTGACCTCACCCAGGTCCCCACACCCACCCGAGATCAAGTTCTCGGACACCTCAACTTCATGTGAACCCCGATATCAGTCATTATGTACTTGCCAACATAACCGACACCCCAGAACTCTCAGAACCCCAACGTTCCACTTCGTGTGATCCGCCCCAAGGCCCGCCCAAACCCTAACACTGAGGCAACTCCATTTATGTGGACCCCAATATTCTCCACGATCCCAATTCTTCCTGCTTCCCAACTTTGGGTCACCCCAACTTCACCCAACCCAGTTTGCCTGCGAATCCCAACTCACAACCACACCTAACTCCCACCCCAATCCGGACTTCACCCAGTCTGGTGCAGCACCCACACGCCACAGTCACCTGGCCAGACACTTTTTGCATCCCAGCTCTGGACCTCAGGCTGACCTCGACTTGGGCTCTCAAATCCACCATTGTGCCCAACTCTCGAGTCTCCACTGCACCCGAAAATTCAGCTCAGCCCCCCCCATCTCCCTTTCACCGCTGTGCTCCAGCCGCCCACCAGCACACCCAGAACCCACTTGGCTCCTCCCCCTGCATCTTTTTTCTGTCTGGGGGTCCTGAGACCTCTGCTATCGGAAGAACCAGCTTTGCAGAGATCTTCACCCCCAAGGCTGCTCCTGGGAGCCCCTCTCGTGGTCACCCCTTTGCCCCTGCCCAGGCCTTGGCTCATGTTACCTTCTGTGGCCCTGGACCCTTCCATGGGTGGAAGAAGCTAGTGCAGACCCCTGCCTGCCCAGACCAGAGGCCCAAGCTATACCCCTGCCCCAGAAAGTCTTCAAAGGGCATACCTTCTGCATAAAAGTTAGGGGGAATTTGAGGGACTTCCCTGGCTGTACAGTGGTTAAGACTCCGCGCTTCCAATACAGGGGGCGTGGGTTCGATCCCTGGTTGGGGAACTAGGACCCCGAATGCCGCACGGCGCAGCCAAAAAAGTTAGGGCGATTTGAGAACAGAGACCCCTGCTTTGCTGCCTACCCCAGGAAAGTTCCAGCCCCACTCCAGGCCCCAGACTCGGTGGGTCTAGCTGACGCAGTAGGAACAAGAGCATGGACACTGTCTCCTGTGACAAGGCCGCTGGGACCCCCTCCTCGGGCTCAGGACCCCTTCCCCCAGGCAGCAGCTCATGACTCATGGCAGCCGTGTCCGCACCTCGTCCCCCCACGCCACAGCCCCCCCATACAATTCCCCGTCAGCCGCAGCCCGCTGCTGCGTCAGCCACTCACGCAGGGCGGTTACTAAAAGGAGCAGAGAGAATCAGCACTCAGCTCTCGCCCTCCCGCCAGGGCCCATGGAGGGGACCTGGGGCCAGGCATGCCCAGCCCAGGAGTAATCCCCTCCCTGCTCATCTGCTCCCCCAGCAAAGTCAGGTCGGCGGCTCCTGTCCCCAGACCAGGCGAAGGGGTCCTTGCAGTCACCGGGGCCCCTCATCACTCTTTGCACCACCCCCCGTCCCCGCCCTCACTGTTCTGTGGTTCCTAGTCTGCTTTCTCCTGGTTTTGTGAAGTTCCCTGGTTCATTCATTCATTCCACCAGCAGTTATCAAGCGTGTACTTACTACGAGCCTGTTGCTGGGTACGGGGCTCCATGCGTACCCACGACTGTCCTGGGTTCCCATCACGGTGTGGACCTTTACCTATGGATATCTATGGATACCATACCTTTACCTATGGATACCTGTCCCCAGGTGCGCCTGCACCGGATATTGTGTGGGAACTGTGTGCTTGCGTCTCAGGTGTGTTACCTATCTGCCCACCTGTGTTTCTGCGGCTACCGACGTCAGCGTGTCCCTGTGACTCGGTGTGTACCTAGGACCTTGTGAACCCGTGAGGGGCGAGATGGGGGACTGGTCTCAGGGGGCTGGCACCACCTTCCTCCCTGGAAGGTGATGCCAGCTCCCTCGGCCGCGACTCCACGCTCTCCCCGCGGACACAAGGGGGAGCTACGGCCTCGCTGTCAGCCTGGCCGGGGGCTCCCGGTCCCGCCCCGCCGTCCAGCCGACGGCCGCGAGCACCAGCGTAGGAGGGGGCTCCCGTCCCGCCCTCAGGCCCGCCCTCGCGTCTCCGCCCAAGCGCTGGGGGTGGTCGGCGAGGAGGGGACTTAAAATAGCCGCGGGCGGGGGCGAGGCTGCTATTCACGGCCGGGACACGCGGTGCTCACCGCCTGCCCGGCGGGACGGGGCTTAGGCCGGAGGTCCCCGTCTGCACACTCACAAGACGCCCCTCCCCGGGCGCCCGCCGAAGACCACCCCCGGGGCTGCGCCGGCATGGCCACGGAGACGGGGGCGGGGCCTCCTTGCTCCCGCACCGCCCCCTCTGTCCTCCCCGCGGGGTCGGGCCCGCCGGACGCCGGGTCCTCCCCCGACCCCGGCTAATGACCGGGCGAGAGGCGGTAATGAGTGTCTGGGCTCGGGTCGGGCGTGGACGGGATGAAAGGCGCGTGGTGGGGGGGAACCCCGGGGCCGCGTAATTACCGGCCCCTCCCGGCAGGCCAGGCTGGGGCAGGGACGGTGCACCTGGAGGCCGCCCGGCGCGGGCGCGGAAGGGGACCGCCCTGGCAGAGACTCCAGCCCGCCCGCCTGGCCCAGATCCCCGGGGCTCAGAGCCAGGGAGGGGGAAGCGGGGACTGGATGTGTGTGTACGTTGCCAGGTATGGTGCACATGTGTGCCGTGGGCAGGGGACTCGTGGGTACAGAGATGGAGAAACAAGGTTTCTGGGGACCATGCCTGTGTGAACATGAAAATGGGGCCGTGTGCCTGTGCACATGGCTATGGAAGTGTGTGCATAGAACTCACACGTGTGTGTGTGCGTGTGCCCACATGGAAACATGTTTGCATGGTCATGCCTTATGTGCAAGAACACAAGGGGTTGTGCGTGGACCCCAAAGCATGTGCATAACCAGGGTGTGGGATCAGCCGGGGACAGCGCTGCTGCGTGTGCATGACGCGGGGGAACCGGGACTCACAGATCATTTGTGCCCATGGCTGGTGGCGTGACTCATGCCCCTGGGGTGCGAACATGCCACGCGCTGTCAGCAGCCGCCGGGGTCTCTAAGGCAGAGGAGAGCTACAGGAGCCCAAAAGCCAGGAGGAAGAGTTTAACTTTAACTGACTCCCCCGTCCCCACCCACCCCGTTTCCCACCTGCATGAGTAGGTGGGGACATCTGAGATCCCTAGGTGGCTGCCAACTGTGAATTGGCAGGAGATTCAGCTGCCTGCGCCCTGGCCTCAGTTTACCTCCCGTTCCTAGGAGGGGTCTTCCTGGCGGAGGGGGACATGGGAGGGGGCACCTGGGTGGAGCTCCCTGTGACTCATGTCCCAGGAATGTGGAAGCTGCCACTCTTCTGCTCCTGCCCCAGCCCCCATCCCAGAAGTGCAAAGGCCAGGCAGCGCATCGGCCTTGCTGGTGACCGCAGTCCCCATCAACGGCAGGCACACGGGCTGTGGAATGGGACCCGGGGGACACCCGGAGGCCCACACCAATAATATGCATTCATGCAGAGGACATACGTCAGGTGTGTGTGAAACGCCAGGGCCTGTGCATGCGCAGAGACCCCTGTGTGCTTGTGGAAACCCCAAAGCTTGCCTCGGTGGGGGCTGGGGATGCAACCCCCTGGGTTTCCGAGACGGGGGGAGGGCTGAGGTTCACAGCCCCGCCCCAGGGGTGGGAGGAGCTGACCCCCACTGATGCCCTGTCCGCTCCCTTGACCTTGGCCCCACGTACAGGCTCCCTGCAGGCACACAGAGGGGCCGAAGCACCCCGACTGGGGCTGTGGCATCTCCATGGCAACACTGGAGTGGCAGTCATGGAGAGCACACCCCCCTGGGGCAGCTGCCAGAGGCTCAGGGAAGACACCTGTGTGTGTCCAGGCGGCCGCACACAGCAGTCCCACATCCTGGCCCCCACACCCAAGCAGGAGGACACAGGTGCCCATGGACCTCGTCCAGCCTTCGATCACCATCCCACCCTTGAGTGTCAGCGATGGCCCGGTGCCCAGCTGTGCAGGTAGGCGGTGTCTGGGCTCCTGTCTGAGCCTAGGGTGCATCATCTGAGAAGTGGGCACAGCAGCAGCATCTCCTGGGGTCAGCGGGGGTGATGGAAGGGCAGCCGGTGACAAAAACACACCACGGAGGGGCTCCCAGTTCTCTGCTGTTCTCTCCTTTCTCCGTGTCTCAGGACACTCAGGGAATCGCCGGCCATGCCGGAGGAAGCCCCACTTCTTCTGTGGGCGCACACAGGCCCCTGCACCTGCCCCAGCCCAGTGGCCGGCTCTGCTCGGCTGGGCCTGCAGGCGCGCACGGTGCGTGGGTAGTGTTTGTGGCTGGAGCGTCCGCGGGCTTGGGTGCCGCCTCGGCTGAGCTGCGTCTCTGAGGGTCTGAGTTTGGGCTGCCTGGTGTGACCTTCAATTTTGCGGGTTTTGAGGGTCACACTGTTGATTGAGGTTGTGGCCCCCAAAGTGTAGCTTGGGGCGGGTTTGGGGGTGTGGGGGCGGTGTGCATTGGGGTCCTTGTGCTGCAGAGCCGGAGCCTGTCACTCAGGTGGGATCGGCATGTACCCGTTGACTGCGGAGGGTGTGCAGCGCGTGTGTGGGACGGGGAGACGGGTTGGTCTGGGTCTGGTGGCGGTAAGAGGCCCTGCGTGGGCGTCTGGACTTGTGTTGATCTTCCGCGAGGCCTATGGATAGCGTCTGGGGTGTGGGCCGTGTGCAGGGCAGATGTAGCCAGCTGTCTCGGGCCACCGGCTCCGCCTGCCGGCGGGCGACCTCCTCCCCCCGACCCCGTGGGGCCGGCCCCGCCCACGTTCCAGAAGAGTTAGGGGGTGCCGTCCCCATCCCCCGCCCGCTCCCGCCCTCTGACCCCGGCTCAAGCCCACTCCTAGCATCCCGGGCACCGAACGCCGCAGCAGCTGGCCCCAAGGAGGGGCGGCGAGGCGGGGGTGGAGGCTGGAATGTGTGCGGGGGGTGAGGGAGGGTGCCCCCGAGAGGGGGCGGAAGCGGGGGAGGGGCCGGGAGGAGGAGCCGGTGAGACCGAGACGGGAGGAAAATAGAGAAGAGACCTCCAGGGAGAGATGGAGACCCGGACAGAAATACAGACAGGCCCAGAGATCGAGGAAGGCGGAAAGGGGAAAACAGAAAGACACAGGAAAAGATAACTCAGAGGGAGCAGGGGGAAGGGCACACGTGGGTGGGGGGAACAGAGGCAGCAGGCCAAGGACAGAGGTCCCTCCGAAGGGCAGTCTCCAGTCGTGGAAGGGCCCCAGGTGACAGCGGCCCCGCCCGCACCTGCGGGCTGGACGCTCTCCCATCCCGAGTGACACCGGCGGCTGCCTGTCCTCTGCCCTCCCAGGTCTGGGCGGCCGTGGGTGGGGCCCCAGCACCCTCGGCCGTAGCTCGGCGACTCCCGTTCCCAAGGTGCCTGGAAAGGAGGGCGTTCCCGCCAGGCGCGGTAGGGGTGGCTGTGCTGGGGCAGCCTCCGGGTGCTGGGGGTGCCGGAGTTGGCCCCAGCGGGGCACCACTCCCTCTCATCTTTCTAGGGGCCTGGCTCCTCCCTGCCTTCTTCCCAAGCCACCCCTCACCGCGTCCTTTGGCATTTCAAAACCGTGCAGCTTGCCCCAATTACCCATTTGGCTGCCCCCAGGGGACTCTGGCCTCCAGCAGAAAGACGTGACCCCAGTGACCTTCTATTGCCCGCCCACAGCCGCCTCATCATCCCAGAAGCCAGCACCTGGATCCAGGCCTCCGTCCGGACTCCACACTTTGGTAGCCACACCTGTCCACACCGCCAGCTCCAACCCCCATCAGGCTCAGGGCTCTCTGCCCGTCCGGCTAGCTCCAGGGGCTAACCTCGGACCAAAGGTTTGCTCACATCCTCGCCACCCGGCAAAGGCGACCCTGTTTACCCCGACCGCGGCCTGCTGCCTTTTCAGAGTGGACTCCTGGCCACAGCAAAACTGCGCCTCAGCCAGGCAGCGACGAGGACTTCCTGCCGCCATAAGCCCCCCCGGGCCCCCAACTGTCCCGGCTCCTGGCTTGTAGGCTTCCAGGTACACAGGGGCGTCTCCAACTGCTCCCCTCCCCCAAATCTCCGAGCTCCCTGCAGCCCCCTTGCCAACCACCTCACTGTGAACCAGAGGCCACGTTCAGACAATGCCCCATCGGTCCCTTCCCAGGCCTCTCCGAAGCCCAAGCACAGCGTTCAGAAAGCTCCTGGGATGTTCTGGCCTTTGCCCTCTCCACCCGCCCCTCCTCCCTGGGGTTCCCCCAAGCCAGACTTGAGGAATCACCCCTTTCGAGTCCTTGCCTTCGCCTTTTGGTTTAGGACCCCAAATGGACTTCCCAATTGTTCCCCAAATGCACCCGCTTTCACGTCTTCAGACATTTGCACACGCCATGCCCCCCACCTGGGGCACCAGTTCCCTCTTCCTATCCTTGGCAAAGTCCTATTCCTTTGGCAGGGCCTCAATCCAAGTGCCCTCCTCCCGCTCCTCGCCCTGCGCTCCCCCCAGCCCGGGGCTCGCGCACACGGGGTCGTGCGGAGGGGGCAACAGGCAATGGCCCAGCTTAGAATGGGGGGTGCACGTGCGGCGCCCCCGGGTACGCCCCCTCTTCCGTCCCGGAGCTGCCGCAGGCGTCAGACCCCTTGGCGCGCATCCCGCCTCCAAACTGAGGACGGCCGCACGCCTCCGCGCCGCGCCGCGCCTGCGCACTCAGCCGGGCCACGCCGCAGTCCCACCTCCGGGCGGCAACCCCGCACAGCTATTGGTGCATGCGGAAGAGCGAACGACGTGGCCACCAATGAGGCGTCCCAGGGGTGGGCGGGGCCTGGGCCGCCCGACGCGAGGACGGGGGCGGGCGGGGCGCCCTCCCCACGGTGACGTCAGGCCCGGTTCGCGGCGCGTTGCCATGGAAGCCGCGTTTCCATCCCTGCGGGCTTCCGGGGGCCGCCCCCTCCCATTCAACTTTTTCCTCAATGGGGGGAGGGGGCGGTGCAGGGCTGTCCCCGCCCCCTGTGATTCCGCGGCCCCTGCCTACTCTGGGCCTCGGTTTACCTTTCCGTGCTGCCCACGCCCACGTGGCCTGGCGTGCAGCCTCTCCGGTCGCTGCACCCCCTTGGCTGGGCACCTCTCCACTCAGCCCCCGCCTCAGGTGTGTGCGTTTCAGGCCCGCGCAGTGGGAAGGGGCTAATGGCCGCAGCACCCAACCAGGGTGGGGTTCTTCTAGGACTCCCGGCCAGGACTGTGACCCTCGGACACCAGGGCTGGGCGCCAGGCAGCGCCCTGAGGAGTGAGTTCCCCGGCAGTAGACCAAGTGCCCCCTGCTCTGCAGCATGCAGACACAGCCCCCGTGATTCAGCGGGTGCCGCCATCTGCTCCCTCCTTCCGCATCTCCCACCTAGCCCTGTAGCGGCCACCTGGGTCACAGCCCTGACCTCCGGGGACCCGGCTGCGTGGGCAGGGGGTTCGACCTGAGCTGTCCCACCCATACTTCCACCCTGCGGTCCTCCGGGCCCGCGGGTACGTTTGACCTGAAGGTCTGAAGGGATCAGCCTGACCTGGGTATCCTACCTTCCTGGCGTGGGCGTGCGATGATTTGGGGGTGACAGGGTGGCAGGAGGGACAGAAAGGCCTTAGCAAGCTGCTCCCAGGACACTCCTGGGACTGCACCTGTTTCCCTTCCCCATGGGCGGGACTCCTAGAACTGAGGCTTGGGAGGGCAGGGTCTTGGGCTATCAGAAATCAGCCCGGGGATGGTGGTCGCTAATGTAACAGTCACCCCAGTGCTCTGGAGCAAACGGTATTTCTCTTCGGGCCTCGGTTTTCTCATCTACCAAATGGGAGGGTAATTAGTTCTCTTAGGTGGCTGCGTCAAGTGAGGAAATACATGCGAAATGACCTTCAGTGTTGTTGTGATTGTGTCTTTGCCCAGCCCCAAAGTGGATGAAGGTGGGACTCGCCACCTGGCCCGGCCCTCAGGGAGCTCCAGGTGGGCAGGGGTGGGAGTTGCAGACAGGGGAAGTTCCCAGGCAAAGCAGGGGCGCTGGCTAGGGGTGTTCCTGGGTAGGGCACGGCCCGGAGGCTTAATCCCGATGGTCAGGGATGGGGAGCGCTGGAATGCAAGGCCGGGCAGGCCGAAGGGAGTCCACGCAGGGCTGGGGTGGAGCCAAACCGGGAGGCCTCGAGCGCCAGCCCCAGGCCCTGGCTTGACTGTGGGAGGGAGAGGGGGTGCTCTGGAGGCCTGGCGCCATACCCCAGGGGGGGGCTCGGGTCAGGGGTCCTCAGGCTGGGCCCCCCACGCGTGGGCGGGCAGATGGAGCTGCTTCCCCCTTTCTGGGGCTGGGGAAACCGTGGCGCAGAGCCTGCAGCCAGGTCTCCCTGGAGACTGAGTCCCTGGGCTCGCCCGCAGCCCACTTTATTATTTATTTATTTTTGTGGTACGCGGGCCTCTCCCTGTTGTGGCCTCTCCCGTTGCGGAGCACAGGCTCCGGACGCGCAAGCTCAGCGGCCATGGCTCACGGGCCTAGCCGCTCCGCGGCATGTGGGATCTTCCCGGACCGGGGCACGAACCCGTGTCCCCTGCATCGGCAGGCGGACTCTCAACCACTGCGCCACCAGGGAAGCCCCCTGTAGCCCACTTTAGAGCCTAGAACGGAGAGGCCCCACCCAGGGCACGCAGGCTGGCAGCCCCGTGCCCACACCCTGCAGGACTTCCGGCCTTGGGTACCGGGAAGTGGCCGGCCCTCCCTCCCCCGCCAGGCGGCTTCCTGCCCACCCTCACCCCAAAGCGGGGAGGGGGCGTGGGAACTGTTCCGGGACGCGCCCCTCCCCCCGCTGGGCGCCCTGGGAGCACGTTCCGCCTCCCACTCCCTGGTGTGGCGGGCTACCCCAGCATCCAACCCGACCCTCCTGAGACAGATCACCCCCTACCGTACTCAGCCCACTCTGTGACAGCCAAGACCACCCCGCCCCCCGAGATGAGCAGGCCGGAGGTTCACTCGTTTCATTTTGTTTATTCCTTGAAATCACGGTGTTTGTGGAGGCTTTTTTCTTTTCCAATTTCATGTTTTCATACAGGAAACTCCCGCAAGGTGCTGGGACACCCCACAGCCCGACCCCCCGAGGGTGGGTAATGCTTTCTTGGGGGGGCCCTGGAGAGGGCAGAGAGGGGTGGGCGGTTCCTGCTTGGGGCCTCCACTCTCAGACCAGTGGAGGCACAGACGTTATTTAAAAATCGTTAAAAAAAAAAACCCCATCAGAACACACATTAAATAGATATCCAAGACAGCGCTTCAAAAACAAACCCGCCCCTTTTTTTCTTTTTTCTTTTTTTTTGGAAAAACGAAAACAAAAACAAAGATCCTTGACCCCTACCCTCTGACCCCTCCCTGCCCACCCCCCCCCCACAAAAAATGTACAGAGCTACAGTTAACACAAGATGTTCACATCTGAAACCATTAACTTTAAACACATAATCGGGGGCAGGGTGAGGACTTGGGGTTCATCTAGGAGGGAGGGGCAGGCAGAGGGCGAGGGGTGTTGCGCAGCACAGAGGGGCGGGGCCAGGACGAGACTGACAGGTGGGGGGGCAGGGCCCAAACATCTCCTTTATCAGTAAAAAATAAAAGTGAATGAAAAAAATCCTCCACCCCACTGAAATGGCCCCAGTAAGGGGGGAGAGGTCTGTCCCTCTGCCCTGGGGGATGCCCCTGGGGCATGGGCATGAGTGGGGAGGGTCCAAATTAGACCAGCAGCGAACCCCCCCCCAAGGGGGTTAATGCTACACAGCGTTGCCCCTCCTGGGGTTTCACAGCTCAGCACCCCCTCCCCTCCCCTCCCAGCTGCAGGAGGGCCCCCAGACACAGTCCACAGGCCCAGATCCCTCAGGTTGGGTGGGGAAGGAGGGCTGGGGGCGTCAAGCCCGCCCCCCCAGCCATTGCTCTCCGTATTTTTCAAGAGATTCCCAACCACTATTGGCTCAGTCAGAAAATTAATAGTCTATAAATACCCCAAGCTCAGAAAAACGGGGTGGGGCGGTGGGGTAGCGCTGAAGGAAGTCGCACAGTGCGTGGACGGGGTGCAGGCTGGCGGCGGGCACCACCCCTCCCTCCCTCTCCTTTCCTGGCAGGAAAGGGTCCCCCCCGCCACGCACCCCAGCCCACACCGAAAGGCAGGCTCTGGCCAGCCTCTCCCCTGAAACGGCTTTTCTTTTCTTTCCCAGGAAAAAGAAAAATGGAAAAGGAGAGACCAGGAAGAGAAAAGAGTACGGATGTGGAAGAGAAACAGTCCCTGGTGGTCAAGGTCGCACCTGCCGAGTTGTTTTAGGGCCAGGGTTTGTGGTGGGGGCCTCTCCTCTCCGCGGCCCCCTCCCCTGTCTGTAAAGTGCATAATGAGGCATCTACATTTTTGACTTCAACCTGAAAAGGGTGGGGAGGGCGGCAGAACGGAAGTGGGGGGCGGCTTCCTTGTCTCCGCTCTCAACCATCTGGAAAGACTGCTACATATTTGGAGCTTGGGAAGGTGGGCGGGAGGGACCCGACCAGGTCGGGGATGAGGATGGGAGGTGGAGGGAGGGGCGGGCAGTGTGAGCCAAACCGAGGAGGCAGGAACCCAAGTCCATGGAGAGTTTGGAAAACCACGGTAGGAAGTGAAATTTCAAAAAAAAAAAAAAAAAAAAAAAAAAAGGCCGCGTAACCGGGAGGGGGAAGTGCCCCACTGCACCAGCCGGCCGCTGGCCCTCCCGCGTGGGGCCACGCTCACAGGCCACCCTGGGCGAGGGACAGGGTTCCTAGGCCACCACGAACTCTGACTTGATGTCGGGGTTCACTTCTGGCTTCCAGACGGCGTCCTCGAAGTCAAGGCCCAAGCCAGCTGCCTCACTGGGGCCGCCGCCTCCTCCGCCGCCGGTGCTATCGCTGCGGCCGGCCTTGCGGCTGGGCGGCCAGTGGTAGGGGCCCCGGGCGTCACGCCGGGCCTTTCTGCGGAGCCGTTTCTGCTGGAGCAGCAGCTGCAGGCGCTCCACCTTACAGCGGGTGGCTCGGTTTTCTGTCTGCCGCAGCCGGTCCCCTGCAGAGGCGGCAGTGACCATGACCGTGAGGGCCCCTTGGAGGCCAGACCCCCAACCAAACGCGAGGACCCCCAGCAGATGGGCATCAGGCCCGGTCCAGCTCTCGTGGACGCTCCCACCAGCGAGTGAGTGGGTCAAGAGGGTCTGCTGAACCTTTAGGTCATTAATTCCACGTCTGCTGAACAGCAGGCTGTGAGCTCCATGAGGGCAGGGGCTGGCCTGAGCCAGGCACCAGGGACACGGCTAGCATAAAAATGAGCGGGAGCTTGAACCCTTTAGGCTATTTCTGTGACCCAGGGTAGGACTCAGGCTGTGCCTTGGTTTCCCCTTTGAGACCGGGCCTGGGGGCCCACATCACGGTTCTACAGGACTCCGGAGGCGTCTGGAATAACGAGATGGCTGTGGTGGTAGGGCGGCGGAGACCGCCCTTGAGCGGGAGGGGGAAGCTAACCCCCTCCTCAGCCTGACTGGCCCATTCACAGAGGCCCCACGCACCATCTGGAGAAGGTGCCCGAGGGGGGCGAGGAGGAAGTGAGGATGGACTCCCCCCCCGGGGAGGGCACAAAGATGCTGTGTGCCCCCAGCACACACACTCCCTTCTCTACACGCGCCTGCAAAGCAGGGCGAGTGGCAGCTGGCGGCCCCCTCCCCGCCACCAGCGGCTCAGCTGCTCTGAGAGGCGCACAGAGGGGCCTTGAGAGACCCAGGACGGGGTGGGGTGGGGGTGGACACTCACCCGGGGGCTTGCACAGGCGGGCCTGGCTCAGGGAGGCCGGGGCCGCGGCCGCCAGCTTCTCGCAGGAGGTAGTTTTGG